AGGTCACGCCAGGCCAACCAGACCGGCGCCCCGGGGGGGACCAACTTGGTAAGTTGTTGCCTGGGGGCTTGCCTAGTTGTCACGAGGTGCCACGTGTCGCAACTTCACTGGAGGGCCAAATCTGCCCTCATCAGATACAACAAAATCCCCACGCTAAATTCACTTTACATGTTCATTTTATAATTGTATAAACATTAAACATTCTTGGAGATTAGCAAAATGCTAGTTAATTGGTTAATCGTGTCTAATTCTATCTTATGTCATTATCTAAGTGGAGTGCATAAATAAGTTACAGAACCATGATTTAATAAAAAATGAAAGAAAACACAATAGTAAATACGATTTAAGAAAAAAAAGAAAGAAAAACAATAATAAACCACCCAATAAGACAAAAATAATAATTAATGTTGAATTAGTAGATGATTTGAGTGAGCAGGTGATTCAAGAATAAGCATGGAATCAAGTTACATAAAATCCAATGAGTTGATCCAATACCCATCATCAATCAAACAAACTGCTAAGATCCAAAACAGTGATTATAAAAGTTTAATTCTGTGAGACTTAAATTGGGTGCTTCAGAAAATGATAGAATTACCAAGTTTCCTTAATTCTAAAGCAACCAAAGTAATTAAAAAATATATTCACTTGGTCTTCATTAATCATCTCAAGTTTTCAACCACATTGAATTTAATCCCCCACATGGAACACTGAACAGAGTATTTCAAACCCTATTTTTCTTTTTCCCCCTGCCCCCCTAATTTCCACCAACTCATATAAGACAAATCATTGGACCCCGGCCTAGAGGGCTAATCAATCATCATCGTAATTAACAAGCTTACGACGACTCATGAGGCTAAAGCTATCTTATATTTCTTAATCAAACTTAAGAAATCCGATCTTTAGAAAAGTGTCTTTATTGGATAGATTTATTACGGAGAAGACTCAGCACAGTCGATCACCTTTCTATTTGCGGAGATAGGCCGCCTGCGCCTAGGCCGAATAGACTCGTGGCCTGGGCGCATCGGCCAGAGCCTATTGGGCGCGGCTGACTGGCTGAGCCATGGCCAATGAGAACCGCAAGGCACGGATGTTGCCGACATGATACTCAAAGTCTGTGTTGGTTGGACTTACTAAACACACTCATCAAAGATCAAACCCTCCTCCCGTCATTCTCCTCCTCCTCTCTTCCTCCCTACTGGCTGCTGTTGTTAGCCTCACATTTTTTTTTGTTTGTTTGTTTAAGAAGGTTTACTTGTATTTGAGATGTGACGATGCCATTACTCACACGTTACGTCATTGGGTCCTCTAAGGCACTGTACATTCTTCAAGTTTCAGGGCTGAAAAGCATTTTTATTTTCTGATTTGGTAGCTGGGGAGTCGCTTTTTCAAGTGGGGTCTGTCCGTCAATGGTGGTGTTTGAGCTTATCGTACATTACAGTTACTGCAGGGCCCAAATTTCTCCCAACTGGGTCACCACGGTGTGGTCGATTTCGATCTGTCCGCTTCATACGTTAAGTCATCTGTTCATGTCTTCACAGTAGCATCCACCATGAACCAGAAATGGGTCAGGCCCAAAATTAAAGTTTGTGATCTGGGTTAGGGGATGTGGATGGTTTTTACGGCGATCCTCGACTCGATCATTTATAACTGCTACAGTAAAGGTTCTTCAGTCCAGTGTGGGCCTGCGTGCTGGAGGGAGAGATCACGAATGCTGAAGGCACTGGGTTTATATGATGGTGATCAACTCATTGAGTGTAATATAGGTTTAATACTGTGAATTCATAAAGAAATGTATTAGTTTATGACAAGAAATTAGTACATTTGGATTTTGGTATAGTACAATAGAAATCAATTATCTAATTTTAGTACATTTGTTATAAATGTTCTACCAAATATGGGCAAACATACTATGGGTTGTAGCTGACGTCTTCTATCCTTAATCAAGAACATACACAAATCTTTTACTTGTACACAAAGTTTGTTTTTTTTCTTCATTCGGTTTGGCATGGATCAGGTCATGATTCGGATCCGGTGGGAAATATAACGGCCTGAATTGGCTTGGCCAGTACTTCCCTATGGGAGTGGGAGAGGTCGGGATGGAGTTGGCGGGTCGGGTCGGGTCGGGTGGAAATTCCCTCCTCCCCATTCAACACCAAGCAAATAAGCTTCTTGGTCAAACAAATTAAGATCGATGAAGCAAGAAGGACAGTTAACTATACTTAAAGTCTATCTGGTTCTGGGCATGTAAAAAGCTGAAACAAACAATAGCACAACAGCGTATTGTCCAAAAGAAGGTCTAAATATTGAATGATTTTAAACTACATGTCAATCTAAATCAATATCATCAGTGGGCCACCTTCTGATGGCCTTACATCCAGATGATACTGATCGGACAGTCTTAATGATGTGTAAAAAAAGTGGACCCGGGTACAGGTTGGGTTGGTATTAACAAGAACAAAGTTTGTGGGTCAAAGATAAGAAACCATTTTCTTTTACTTTTCTCTTCATTCTTGTCTCTGATCAGATTTAAGCGTCCGTGGTAGAATGTGATTGAGCTGGGCGCCCAAGGAATGTAGTTTCAGTACTACTGCTGACCCTACACAGAAGGAGATGGATCATCTTATAGTTGCTAGCTGTTGTAAGTCAAAGGCCACGAATGGCCTGTGGAAAGAGGACCCGACCAGATGAGATGTGAATGTGATACCAGTGGTGGCCCACTGAAGACAAACGAACGGCATGGGTTGATGAATAGGCTGATATTGTTGAGTTTAGATTCTCCCCAGCTAAATCTCAGACCTTGATGAAGAACACCCTACAATTTGGCAGGATACGGACAACAAAGCGTAGTGATGACGAAATAGGTGATGGAGTGGTTGAGTAAGAGTGCAACCAGGAGGAGGAGAGGAGGAGAGGAGGAGTGGATTGAGTGGGAAAAATGCTTAGATGTAGCGCTACCGTTGGGTCTGCCGTCATCCACCATCGCAATCATATGAAGCAAAAGACACGGGAACAGGTTTATTGCAGTTCGGGGGCACCATTCTGAAACTGATGGTGGGACCAGGATTCATATTTTTATAATTCTCCCCTCTCTGTCATCCCTGGTTGCGCAGCAAATAAAGGTAAAAGCTTTATTTAAAGGTGGGTGTGGGGGTTTTAGCCTTTAGGGTGTTTTAGGGTATAGTAGGAGTAGATAGTAGTAGAGAGAGAGAGAGAGAGAGTTGGATCTGTAATTATTCTCTAGTGGTGTTGGTGTAAGTGATGGGCAGACAACCTTGCTGTGACAAGCTTGGGGTGAAGAAGGGGCCATGGACGGCCGAGGAGGACAAGAAACTTATTAACTTCATCCTCACCAATGGCCAGTGTTGTTGGCGTGCCGTCCCCAAGCTCGCCGGACTCCTCCGCTGTGGCAAGAGCTGCCGCCTTCGTTGGACCAACTACCTTCGACCCGACCTCAAGAGAGGCCTTCTTACTGAAGCTGAAGAACAACTGGTCATCGACCTCCATGCCCGACTTGGAAATAGGTTTGCTCTCTCTCTCTCTCTCACACACACACACACACACACACACATTTTTTTACTCCTCTTAGGCTCTAACGAATCATCAATCATCCTAAGTTGTTGTTGTGTTGCTCGGTTCTCACAGTCACAGGTCAGGTTGGTTGCAGGAAGCAGCCAAATTTGAATAAGCTTAGTCAACTTGAACTATTTATTCATCGTTACGACCCACCTAATATGATAGTTAATATATCAAATTAAAAATAATGATCAAGTTTATCAAGGCCAGTCATGGTGTTGAAACTTGAAATGATTTTACATTTTTCGTGTTGACGAAAGAAAGAAATTGAAGCATCCCTAGCTCCCCAGATTACAGTAAAGGACTGTGGATGGTTTGAAAATTAATGAAATATAATATTAAACCAAGTTCATTTATCGTTGGTCTGCTGTTTAACATAATGTGGGATTCCGTGTTATCTCAGGTGGTCGAAGATTGCAGCAAGGTTGCCTGGAAGAACTGATAATGAGATTAAGAATCACTGGAACACCCACATCAAGAAAAAGCTTACCAAGATGGGAATTGATCCAGTGACCCATGAACCCCTTCATAAACATGCTGCTACTACTACTGCTACACAAGTAACTTCCTCTATTACTTCTGCTGATCGTCACCCGGACTCCAGTAAGAAAACGCTTAGACTGCCCTCCCCAGAAAACAATGGACGTCTCACCACACCTGATCAGGAGAATTCGAGCTCAGCAGCGGAAAATTGTTCCGGCGATGAGTCTCGGTTGTCGGATAACAACGGGGGCCAAGGCTCGTTAATGAGTTGCCTGCTGTGGGGAGATGACAAGCCTCTTGTGGAAGCCTCTTGGAAGTTTCCGACAACTTCTGCCGGAGAAACCTATAACGACGTCGGCAGTTTGTCTTGGGAGGAGAATTGTGCATGGTTGTTGGACTACCAAGACTTCGGGGTGGAAGAGTTTGGTTTTGGTTGTTTCAACGACATAGCCATGGACATGAGCACGCTAGAGATGGGCGACAAGCCCTAATACTCGGCTCTCGGCACGCAGTAATATTAGTTACAGTTGTTGCCTTCTCCGGCTGGCAAAAGAAAAAAGAAAAAAAAACGATATAAATTAAAAACTGAACTAGAATTTAGTGAATCACCTTTATGACCTTTTAGCCCAGATTTTAAGTTATGTAATCTTTGTGAGTCGAACCTCCTGTCCTAAGAGGAGTAAGGGGTCCCTCACCCACCAAAAATGAAACAGCAAAAAACGAAGAGAAAAGGTGACAAAAGTTGGTCCCTCAGCTCGATCAAATGCGTTGTGCTTTTATTATTTGAAAACAAATAGACATACACTATAAAGTGTTCAGATGGGTCTTATGAATGTATTACCCTTGTAGATATATGCTAGCTCTTGATTATAATAAATTAATAAAGAAAAGAAAAGAAAAGAAAAGAAAAGAAAAGAAAAAGGTTTATTAGTTGCTGTGGTTAATTTGTAGATAAAAGAGATCGATTACTATAAGAAATTAAGTAGTCATCATCCATCTCTTCCTTCAACACTGTCTTCGTCTGTTCATATGAATCCATCTGATTGATTCTTAGTATTTGATTAAAATTTTCTTAGTTCAATGGCACATAGATTAGTTGAATTGCACCGTGGTCAGGTTCAATTAATTGCAACCAATCCGCCAGAAAAAAAAATAGAAAACAATATTGAGAGGAAGAGATGGTTTGGTTGACAGTTTCAAAGCATCTCTTATGACATATATGTCTTATCCGGAGAAGAGAGATTAATTGAAACATATGTTACTTGCTGGGAAAACTGTTTGTGAAGCAATCATGTATTATACTGTTAAAAACCATCAAATTCAGGTAATAAAAAAAAGAACAACAAGATCACGAATCACCTGATCATAATGTACACTAAATTATTAATATCGGGACTCTCTAAGACTAAATGAAATGGTTCAACAACAATTTCGAGGTAGGGTGGTCCATGGCCAAATCTCGACTTGTATAAGAATGATGCAGTAGGCCAGTAGCTACATCTATACTTGATGTCACTTGCACTAAATGATGTGGTGACCTCTTACCTAATTAATGAATGAGCCTCGGTCTAAGTGGATAGAGTCTAAAGTATCTCCCATATTCGCCGTGAAAATTACTCGCTTCACAGTTGATTGATACTTTATTGGTTTCCTTTCTTTTCTTTTTTTGAGAAGGAAAGAAGGAAATTTATAAAAAAAAACGGATATTTACAAGAGAAACACTTGGGCTATGTATGGTTTGAAGGAAAAGGTAGATAAGAGAAGGGAAAGACATGGAAACCTATACAAGGTTTCCAAAGATTTTTCTACCTTTCCTTACCTTTTCCTTCAAATCAAACATAGCCTTAGGTTCCCTAGCATCCTCCATGACTGATGATGCGTATTTCGGCAGTTCTTGGCTTGCAGGTGACTCAGATGCCTGGCTGAATAATCCCTATCTGGAATGTGGCTTGGATGCCTAACTGAATGGTTCCTACCGCCCTCCTCAAAAAACGGAACCAACCTTATCTCTATAGCCCGGAGAACCCGGAGCTCTTTCGTGAAGCCCACGGCTACCCCAGTATATAAAGACTCGAAACCTCAAGGCAAAGGTACGTGTGATTACTCTATTCTCTAGCACTCAAACTCTCAAGCATTCAACTCGCATTTACAGCATACTTACTGACTTAAGCATCGGAGCGACTTTGCCGGGTTAATTACCCCGGGTTCTCTGATAGACTGTTTTGCAGATCAATCTAGCTCGCCGCCCATCTGGAATTCGGATCGTCCTTCAGTTAGGAGTAATCAGATCGTACACCATCAATGACCAAATTAGAGATCGAGCTCAGTGCCCAGGGACCCCGAGGGCAGCAAAACAACCTCATGTACAATCAAATTAAAAGAGTTATTTGACATGTTGCTCCAAAGTTTTATTATTAGCTTACTTTAATTTGTTTTCCATGTTTTAGATTAAAGATGAAATTACATTAGAGTAAACATGGCATCAAACAAAATCGTGCGGTGAAGAGTACACCATTCAGCTACGCATTGGAAACATCTCCCCATGAATTTAACATATGAAATGTGGGGGGTGCCATTCTTTCAGTGTGTTTGAACACTTTTTTTTTATTTTTTCTTTCAGGAGACCGCTTCTGAAATGGAAGGGAAATGGCAATGCAGGATTCATGTAGCCAACTCTATATATTATAGGTTTCTTTTTTGGTACAGTTGCTGTTTTAACCAGTAGAAAACATTTTGGTTGATCAATACTAATTGGTAAGAGCTATGCATTTGTCACATCACTTATGAGAGTGGCTTCAGTTAGCTAGATTAGAATGATTAGACTTCACCCCTTCAGAGCAAGAAACATCAGTTTGACGTTTCTACAAACAGCCACCCAAACATTTTCAATGTATTGTCAGTTTCATCCATAAACAGCTAGCCAATTGTATACTTGTATATGTGAAATTGTGCCGGCCAACCCAAAACATTTTAGATAGAATTAAACAGTGGTACTACTAAACACAACTATAGTTGGGACAAGGCATAGATGATGATGATAAAACATTACATCAAGTAAAAATCATGACAACAAATATGTACAGAGAAAGCAGCCAATGAGAGTATTTTGTAATCAACATTGGCCATAACGAAAAAGGATTAGAAAAAAATCAGCTCTCCTTAAAAAAAAAAGGAGGAAAATGCTGCTTGGTTCTAATACTCACCATGAAAAAGAGTCAATGAGTGAGATAAGCAAGCTCTACTGCCCTAGAACACATGGCATTAGCAGATTTCCCAGGGAAGGACTCTACACCCTGAACCATATACCTATTACCTAGCCAATGATCCCAATATGACAAAAAGATAAAAAAAGGAAAAAAGTTTGAGAAAATTCATGGAATCTTGGAGAAATATAAGTTGTCGGCAAGAAAAGAAATTAAAATAATATAATCTTGATCATGATATCCCCCTTCTAACATGCTAATTAGCTTTAAATCTTTAGTGCATTTGTTGGTTAAACTTGCACCTAAACAAACCCATAGTGATTCTGCTAAAACTAGAGCCACCTAATTTTGCTATAAACACCTACAAATTAAAATGATTAAACAACTAGCTACTACTTGAATTTGCAACATTCTTTACTAAACCTTCTTGAATAAAAAATTTCTCTTAATTTTACTGGAGCTGTAAGAAATTAAACTTTGAGGAACAAATCTGATTGGTAACTGTTTTACTTAGTTAAGCAGAATTATTATCTCAAGTGTCTCAACACTAGTAATATTCTCCATACTTAGTGGATTGCTTGTCATCAAAAAATTAAAAATAGAATATAACTAGCTATGGGAGTCTAACATAATGCACTATTTTTCCTATTCTTATATCTTATAGAATAGAGAAGTGTCTATCAGGATTTTGAGGATCATAACATGCAGAAGTAGAACAAGAATTTTCAAATTACTGATCTATGAATTGAATTACTTGAATTCACAGTTAAGACTACCTAATATCACAATATTTAAGGAACCCAACCCAACAAAGCTTATATCCGCATTCCAAAGTTATATCGACTACGGATTGGTTTCAAAATATTTGTAATTTCAAATCATGCACATGTATACATTGTAGTTGTTTATTTGGATTAGTTGCTGAGTTGCAGGTAAATTAAACCTTTTAACTAGAAAGTAAGAGACTCCAAATATTATACCAAGTTAAATAAGTTAATAAATTAGAAACCAATACATGCATCTTCCATTAAATTGATCAAATTAAGGTGATCAAGTCATTAATCAATCGATCTGTAATTCTGTATCATGTATGACAAACCAACATCATACAGGATTTTCCCTTATTGAATTTTTTTATAGAAGTTAGAACAATAAATAAAAGTTGGGGTGCAACATGAGGACTTCCAGGAGGTCAAAACTCAAATTTTAATATAATGGAGATGCCGGGTATTAATCCCCGTACCTCTTGCATGCTAAGCAAGCATTCTACCATCTGAACTACATCCCCTCTTTTTTGAATTTTTAATACAAAACTCCAAATCTAGCTTTCAGTAGTAAAGACCCATAATTAATAATCCCAATGGAAGATTAAATGAACCAAGTAGGAGCACCCCTTCCCTCATTCACCTTAATTTGATTGTGGACATGGAGCATATATCTTTTAAAAAGGGGGAACTGCCCTTATAAACATGGGACTCCTAGAATCCCCATACAGGCATACAGCTCATGGTGGCCAGTGGCCTGATCTGGACCCAGAAAATTTCAATTTCTGAGTGGAATGTTGAATCACTTCATGGCTGGCTGGCTTTTTCATTTTAGTCTGGTCTGTGTTTGATAGACAAACGGATGACACTTGATACTCTATTATTATTAATTAATTAACTATTCCTCAAAGCTATCAGCTAGAGCTATCATAGTTCCAAGAAATAATGGCTTGAATATACCACCCAAAATCTCTTTAGATAGCTTCCTGGGCCCCATTTTGTGAGGGCAAGTAGCACAACCATTGCTTATTGCTCATTTCTGTAGTCTGTAGTCTGTACTGGGTGAAAAAGTTCTACCAACCGCTAAGATAAAGGATGGACAAAGCGAGCAACAATGCAACCAAAAGTGTAGCGTGGAATTAATTAATTATGAGGATAAAGAATTTGTAGCATGAATTCCATCATCCTTCTTACCTAAAAAAATAATAATAAAAAAACAAGAATTAAAAACTATCGTCCTCAATTGAAAGTACTACCTTTAGTTGGGCAACGCATGGCCCATAAATTCATGCATCAAGAATGTCCAATCAGCAGCCCACCTCTTGGGCTTTGGGAATAACCCAAATGCACGCGTTGAAGGTTCTGAATGTGGCCAATGAAAAGTCAAGTAGCATCTCTGGCTCACCCAGCAGATATTTCCAGTTCAAAGCCACCAATGGAAGGCCCAGGAGGAAGGAAGGCCTTAATCTGCTTGTTGGTCTAATTAATGGGCTTTGTCCTATCATCCATGGTAATGACTCCATTGATTGAGTGGAAGTGGAACAAATTCATGGCTAGATTACCCAACTTTATTGTCAGAATCGAGTTTCAATCTAATTTTTTAATGTAATATTACTTCTTTAGCTCAAATGTTTTTTAGTTCAATTATAGTATATTTATTAATATTAATTGTACATTAAATTAAATTCAGATCTCAATCAATTAATTAATTTTTCTACATACAATATATTTACTTTTATTAAGATGTACTTGTCATCACATTAAATCAATAATGTCTATTACTTAAGAGGATATCATACAATTTGCCTCATTTTAATTACTACACAAAGAATGGCCCATTTAAGGGTCCAATCCACTCAT